TGTGTGAACCTGAGTGTCGTGTGTCGTACGTGTGACTGAGTGTTATGTGAGTGTGCGTGTGTGAGTGTGAGTGTGAGTGTACGTGAGCTGCGGATGTGCTGGGCGTGAGCGTGAGGAGACTGTGACAGCACGAGAGTGGGTGATGGGTGAGTGTCTGCAGGTGTGTGTGCTTGCTGTGTGCAAGAGTGAGCGGGTGTGTCCCTGGGAGAGAGTGCGTGTCTGGGGCCCGGATCTCGGCGAGCGGGTGGGCGTGTGAGGGCCGAGCCGAGGGTCTTGTGCAGGAAGGGCCTCCCCTCGCCGGCCTCTGCGGAGGGGCCTGTTTCGGGGTTACTGAACCAGGCGAACGTCGAAAGAATCTGGAGGGAGAAAGGAGCGAGGGAGAGACAGACGCGGAGTTCCGCCAAGCGCCCCCGAGGCTCAGTGCTCTGCCGTCCGGCCGCCCAAGGTTCCCGGGGCAGGAAACACGGAGAAGCCGCGGGGACGCGGGGGAGCACCGCGGGAGGACGCGGGAGGAGTTCTGCGCTCCTTCGCGGGGCCCCGGCCCGGGGAGCTGGCGCGGGAGGGAGAACTCGTGGGCCGATTCCATTCCAAAGTGAAAATCTGAACAGCAGCTGGGGATGACTCAGGCCTCGCGGGAAACCATTCCAGGAAACTGGCTCTTCTTTCTGGAATCTTCCTCAGTCATTCAGGGGCCCAAGGCACCTACCACCCCCTGCCCCGTCCCCACCAGAGCTCCTGCGGGCTCGCCAGGTGCACCGAGGCGCTGTGTGCCTGTGTGTGTGTGTGTGTGTGCATGTGCCTGTGTGTGAATGCACGTGTGCGTGTCTGTGTGCATGTGTGTGTACATACATGTTTGTACATACGTGTGTGCATGTCTGTGTGCATATATGTGTGCGCGTGTGTGTGTGAGCCAGGGGCCAGTGAGGTGCGAAAGGGCCAAGCTGAGTCTTGACCAGAGGCACCGGCTCTGGGCAGCTGAGTCCAGGCCTGGGGAGCCTCTGCCCAGCAGGGCTGGCGTGGCGTGAGGAGCCGGAGCCGGACGCCAGCTGCACGCGGCCACGGCCATGCCCGCCCCGCAGGACCCGACGGTCCCAGCCTCCTCCCCGGGTGGCAGCGGCCCTTTCCCAAGGCCCAGACAGACACGAGACAAAGGAGCGGGTGGGGCGCAGCCAGACAGCCGGGGGCGCCTTGTGGGGGGCGGGGGGCTCTTGAGCCCGAGTGCTGGCTCAGCTCCCGCTGTCAAGGGCCCCGAGGGAGTGAGCACCGTCCGGGAGCAGCAAGGAGTGGGGGGTGCAGGCCGAGGACGCCAGCGTGGCCGCGCTGAAGGTCTGGCCTTGCTTGGAAGTGATTCCTCGTGTGCGGGGGTCTTTGTAAACCAGGTTTCCGGGCGTGGAGCTGAAGGCGCCTTCGAGCAGACTTCTCGGAAACTCATTTCTCGCGCTCGAAGAATCGCTCTGGGGGGTGTCTGCGGAGATGAATGAACAGAGCATCCAGGAAGGTGCCCTGCGGCAGGAAGGGCCCTGGAAAAGGCTCCGACCCTGTCAGGGTGAGGCCCACTGAGCAGAGAGTCGCGGGGTCCCTGGCGGCCGAGCTGACTAAAGGAGCACCCCCCAGCCCGGGGACAGAGGAGTGGCTGAGACTGGTCCTGTGGGTGTGGGCAGCTCCAGTTCCCCCTTCCAGCTCTGAATCAAATCCTTTGGGGGTCCTGGGGGCTCCCCAGGGCTCTGGATGTAAGTCAGTGCCTTGTTTCACCGTGTGTGGGGCAGACCACCTGGGCAGCTTCCCAGCTATGGGGCAGCCACGGACCAGGAGGAGGGGTGACCGCGTCCTTCCCACAGGGGCCACCAAACATCTCTCTTCTCTCTCCGGGGTCAGCCTGGGTGTCCACAGGGACAGCTTGGCATCTTTTATTAATTGGAATGGACATAATTTCCTGTGGTGTCCGGGTTCTCCTGGGCACGGTCAACAGCAGAACTGATTTAATGGCAAAGAGAGTGCCAGGGAGTGTCCATCCGCCCGGTCAGGGTCCAGCACAGGGCAGGGCAGCGTGGGGAGCCCCTGAGGCCCCCAGCAGGATGGGGCGCAGGCCTTCCTGGGCACACCCCCAAGGGGAGCCTCTGGCCTCTCCACCCACTGCCCAGGGAGGCTCTTCCTCCGGAGATGGAACACGGCCACATACACTTTGAGCCAGCTAGGAGTCCTTGCCTTGGAGGATGGTTGGAGCGAGGATGCCCGAGAGAGGCCTGGGTCTCCTTCCCTCCCCGTCCACACCTTACGGTGCTTCAGGGAGGCTAGGGAGTGAATCGGCCGTTCCTCCACGGAGCAGACCCCCGGGCTAGCTGGGGAGTGCCCTGGGCACCAGCCTGGCCTGGGCACGGGGACGCCGTGAGACCACAGTGCCGTGCGCGGGGGAACGCCCTGGGTGTCGCGTCCATCTGTCGGAGACACACACTCTCATCCCACAGGTCGAGCAGAGGGCCTGTGCCTGGCAGCTCTGCTGGGCGTCCTCAGAAGGAAACGCTTCTCAGGGACCCTGGGAGCACAGGCAGCGAGACCCTGGGCATCTCTCCTGAGCTGTGTCAGCGAGGGTCCTCGATCCATTCCGTTGTCATCATCACCGTCATTGTTAGTGTCTTCATGCTGGGCCCCACCTGGCGGTGCTCAGGGCCTTCTCCTGCTTCTGCGTCCCGGCTCACACCTCGTGGGACTCAGGGGACCACAAGGGACGCTGGGAATCCATCCCAGCTTGGCCAAGTGCAGAGCAGTGCCCTGCCCACTGGACTACCTTTCTGGCCCTCCGCTTCCTCAGTTCTGGCTTCGTTTCCTCTTTCCCAGCAGCTCACTCGGACCCCCTCCCTCATGGCCAGGCCACGGGGTGGGATGCCCCCTGCTCTGCGCGGACACGGGCTGGAGGATTTCGTGGCCCAGCCACGGGGCTGGGTGTTGGCTCTCTGCCCGGGTCGCCCTGTGCTCAGGGTGCTTTGCTCTCCTCCACGGTCCCAACGCGCCCATCCCCTGCAGGCCAAGGCCGCTCTGCTGATGGGACAGACGATGCCCCCCGGGTGCTGGACAGGGTGTGGGGGAGACTGAGGTTGGAGCCGGGGGACTGCAGGCCCCGTCCCAAGCAGACACCCCTGCTCGCGCCTCGCGTTCTCTGGAGACTCTCATGCCGCTATGTTCGCTGCTGGTGATTCTCCTTTCCAAATGTTACTCTGGAACAGGCGCCAAATGTGTGCCACATAAAAGCTTACATGTGCTCCAAAAGCCTCAACTGCCTCAGTTTCCCCTTGGAGCTCTTAAACGCCCTCACGTTCAGCCGGCCCCTCCGAAGGTGATACCTCTGATCATTCCTACTAATCCACGGTGCTCCCGACAGGATAGTGGCCAGACCCTCAGCCACGGGAGGCGGCATCTCCTGTTCCCTTCTCGGGGCCGTAGGACACAGCACAGAGAAGCGACCGAACTCCCCTCAGAAACGGGCCAGCGTCCGGTTCCACTGGGCAGTGCTGCGACCGTCAGCACTGTTCTGTGTCCATCCCTGATGGCCCGGCTGCTCCGGTTTCGTGAATAAGGGGACACTGCGATCCGCTGTGGGCTGTCTTTTGTGGCTCACCGTGGGCCAGAAAGTTCACCCGTGTGCTGGAACATGTCAGGATTTTTCCTCAAGGGTGAACACGTGCCCTAATATGGACACACTGCTGGGCACACCCCACACTCTTCAGCCAGAGAACGGACACTTCTGCTGTCCACGGAAGATGGACGTTTATGCGGTGGCTCCGGGGCCTATGGTCTCCCTCCCCAGTCCTGATGTTTGTTACTAGGGATACCTACCCTGGTGGTTGCTGAGTTATGTGGCAGCCGGGTCCCCTGGTGTTCAGTGGGGCTGCCCCACTCCACTGTGGACCCCCCAGCAGCCCACAGCAGTTTGATTTCTCTGCGTCCTCTCCCCTGCTCAGCCCGTCATGTCCTGTCCCGGGGACCGTGGCCGTCTCCCTGGGTGGGGCGGGTAACTGCACGTTGGCTCTGTCCCCGTTCCTGAGATGAAGCCGTTCAGTGTCTCCCACAGGCCTCTGTGTCTTTGGAGAAAAACACTTTTCATTTCTGCAGCGATGCCTTAGCTGAGCCCTCTAGAGTCGACCAGTCGTCTTAAAGTCAGATTGTTTAGGGGGTCAGAGACCTGGTACAGGAGTCAGACGCTTGCCTTGCCCGTGGCCAAGCCGGGTTCGATCCCTGAGCCCCTCCGGTCCCCTGAGCCCACCAGGACTGGTGCCCCGGCAGGAGGGTGGCCGAGCCGAGTAAGCCCTGTGCCTGCCGGGGTGGCCCCAAACCAAACCCAGAATCAGACTATTTTGTTGCTGGGTCACAGGGGGCGTCTGGGCGGATGTGAGGCTTCCTTGGCGCGGGGTCTGCGGCATCCCCCCTCTCCGACACTGCCTCCTTTGCGGGCGTTCCCTTGCGCGAGCCCCCTCTCTTCTTCATGACCTGTGATGTGCTAGCGACTTTGGAGTCCCTACGGAGCCCAGTGGCAGCGAGCGGCCCTCTTGGGCTTTATTCTTGGCCTATAGTCCAGGCTTTTGAGGACCTTTGATGGCTGTGACGGTTCGATCCAACCCGTGTCTTTTCTGTGTGGGTTCCCGGTTTTTGTCTCCGAGTCTGTGCAATCTCCCCGTCGGCTTCCGTCCAGGGGCGTCTCTCGGGCTCTCTCCTGCCCCCGCGGCCTCGGCCCGTCTGAGTCCAGCTCCGGCCTCTGCTCACTGCGGGCTCCGAGTCGCTTGTTTGATTTTCTTCCTGACAGTTTCCACGAGGCTCTGAGCTCCTGGGGCTGAGGCTGGCAAGAGAGACTCTTCCTATTTTGCTCCCACATTGCTGGGGAGGAAACAGGGGCTCAGGGCCCTGGAGTCCCGTCCCGGGCGGGCACGTTGGTGGGGCAGGGGGTGCGGTGGCCCCAGTGGGGGTTGGACCACCCCAGCGCTGACGGCTCTGCCTGCTTCTCTCCCCAGGTCCCTTCCCTCCGAGCTGCAGCCATGAGGTGTCAGCGGTGCTGGCCAGCCACGGCCCTGTTCTGCCTCCTCCTCACAGGCGTCCCCCCCGCGCGGGCCCAGCAGGGGCCAGAAGGTAAGAAGGAGCCGCCAGGCTCTGGCCCGCCCGGTCCCGGGCTATGGGAGGCGTGTTGGTCCCCACGACTTGGGGCCTTGTCTGGACAGTGGCGAGAGTGGAACGTTTGTGCTGAAAATGTTTCACCCTCCCCAGGGCTCTCTGGGGGCCTGACGCAGGGCAGGGCCTGCAGGCGCCACGGAACGGGGGTCCCAGCTCAGGGCAGCCCCACCGCCCAGGCGCAGGAGGATGCGTGTCCGGGTGACAGAGTTGCAGAAACATGAACCTTTACAGAGTCCGCCCTGGGCTCTACAGGGAGGTTCTGGCGGGCCCGCTGGCCGGTGCTGGCCAGGCGTGGGCAGTGAGCCTGCCTTGCACGTCAGAGCAAGACCTGCCTCCCGCTTCCTGCCCGGTGAGCAGACGCTTCTCTGCAGCTCTCAGACATGGGGCATGGGGGTCTCGCCTCTGGGGGTGTGTTTCTGGGGGGGTCTCTGAGCAGACAGACAACCTGGGCCCGGCCAGGCGCACTGAGGGACAGCGTGTCCACCTCGATCCCCGGCCCTGTCCCAGAGGGTCCCTGCTTCTGAGAGATGGACGTGGGGGAGCTTCTTCTCCAGCCAGAATTGGGGGCATGGCTGTCCCAGCCTTGGGCCAAGGGTCCTCAGAGTTCTGCCGCCCAGCCCCAAGCTCAGGATGAGAATCTGACCTGACGGCTATGATTCGGGCCGACGGACTCTGGGTCCGAGCAGGTGGGCTTGGGTGTGCTGAGGGTGACTAAGGGGCGTGTTTGGGTCGAAGGACTCCGGGAATGAGTTCTCGGTCCTATGGGAGCCGCCTGATGCCCGGGTGGGGCCACGCGCCATGCTCCCGCCCGCCAGGTAAGTCCGTCCGTGCGCCTGGACGCAGGTGGGGCCAGAGACGTCCAGGGCGTAGCGGGGGAGGCCGGAGCCGGAGAGCCTGAAACCGTCGTCTCTCTTTGAAGCTGCGGGCAGCGGCGTGGCGGCCGATGTAGTTTTCCTGGTGGATCCGGCCTGGAGCGTGGGGAAGGAGCACTTCCGGCTGGTCCTCGAGTTTCTCTGTGACGTGGTGCGGGCCTTGGCCGCGGGCCCGCAGGACTTCCGCTTTGCCCTGGTCCAGTTCGACGGCAACCCCCAAACCGAGTTCCTGTTGAACACCTACCGCTCCCCGCAAGAAGTCCTGTCCCACCTCTCCAACCTGTCCTACACGGGGGGCCGCGGCCCGGCCCCCGACGGCGTGGAGAGTGCGGTGCGGGCCCATCTGTCGCGGGCGGCCGGGAGCCGGGCCACCGACGGGGTCCCACAGCTGATCCTGGTTCTGGGCGGCAGTCAGGGCCTGCCCTCTGCCGGGCTCCTGTCGGCCGATGCCGGCAAGGGCACCTTGGCCGGGTCGGCACTGTCACCACTCAGAATGCGCGTGTCCCGCCTAGAGAACCTGATGGCCTTCCCCGGGCTGGTGGGCGACTTGGTGTCCTGGGTGTGAGCCGTGGTGGCTCTGCAGGAGGCCCCAAGAGACCTCATTAGTAATGCCCCCGCACCCTGCTGTCCTGCTGTGCTGCGGACAGACGCCATCACCTTTAAAACAAAGGTTTGGCTCTTCCCTGCCCCTCCGAGAGGGACCCGGCACGTCTGCCGAGACCTGAGCTCTGATATCCCCGTGCCGGGGCCCCAGTTCCCTCCACACCTTTCACTTCCTGAGAAAAAGAACTGTCAGGGCCTGAGAGATGGCACAGCAGTGGGGAGCCCTCCCGGGCTCCATCCTGGCACCACACAGGGTCCCCCGAGCTCACTGGGAGTAAGCCTTGAGCACCGCTAGGTGGGGCCCCAAAACCAAAAAGTGAGAACGAAAAACAAGTTTAGGACAATGCAAGGCTGCACGCAAACCTGGCCCCCATGGGAGATACAGGGGGGCTGGTAGCAGCACCCCCAAAACACGCAGATGGTGACCCCCAAAACAAATAGACGGTGACCCCAAAAACATGCAGACGGTGATCTGCCTAACATGACAGGAGAGGAAAATGCTTAGAAAGCAGACGGATGGCGCCCAGAAGGAGAGAGCGTTTGCGCCCCTGGGCAGGCCCTGCTGGCCCCACCGGGGAGCCTGAGACTCAGTAGGACTTTGCCCCAAGTCGTGGGCAGAGCTGGGTCTCGCCCAGGCAGGCAGCCAACCATGGGGGCTCTGGGCCTCGCCTCTCCCTCCAAGGGTCTCACAGTGTTGCCGGGACCCCCTGCGGCCGCCCAGGGCTGACCACATGCCCTCCGGCCAATGTTGTGTCCAGGCCATGGGCTGCCAAGTCCTTTAACCGCTGAGGCCAGCAGCCGTTTCCCGCGTGGAGTGCCCACAGACACACAGAGGTGACTGTCCTCTGGCCAGGCCTCGGCACTGCCCACCATACAGTGAGGGCAGGAGACAGGCTGGGCGGCCGCTGGACAGCTGACCGGCATTTCCTGGGGGTGTGCAGGGCGGGGGCACAGCCGGGGCCCGGAGGAGACTTGGGCCTTCTGAGACAGGGACATAGTGGGGGGACGTGGTGTCTCCGTAGTGGATGGCCTCGGCATCCCCACGAGCAGGGAGGCCTCTAGAAAGAAGATACAAAACCAAGACTGAAACCTTTCTCGGGCGACACGCATTTGGGTTTGCATCCCAAAGACTAGTCTGCTAGAGCCTGGAATCTGCATCCCAAAGATCAGGCCTGGCTAGCACCTGAGATCTGCATGTCTGAGGCCAGCCAGGTTTCTGTGAGAAAAGGAAAACTGCCTCTTACAATGTACTGAAATGACTTACTGAAGGCAGTTGGAAGGGGGAAATGTTCAGCCTCGTCCAAGCTAGTCAGGACACACGGGAAAGCCGCTTCTAGGACAGATACTCATTTAGCAGAACAACCCGCCCTAGAACGGAATCCCCTGGGCGTGTTTCTCCTCTCCTTGTCCAACAAGCATATAAGCATACATAATAGAAATCATTCTGTATGGGCACAGTAAGAAATTCTTTAAGCTTATAGAATTGCTCTCCCAGGGCCATCTCAATCTCAGACTACCGTGCTCAGGCCAGATAGTCTTTCCCACCCCTAGCAGGGTCCTAGTCTTGCTGTTACTTTTGGATCATGAAAGCATTTGTCTATGATCAAACTCCTAACTTCTAGTTAAGAATCGTGGCACTTTGGCCTGGCCCATCTCGATGCCAGGATAGCACATAGCTCACCTCCTGCCCTGGTTCCATCCAATCCCTCGTCAGGACCTTGCTCTTGGGATTCTGGGAAGTGAGGGCAACTGAGGCTTCAGTTAAGAAAGCAGATGGCCAGGAGTGAATAATATTCGAAGCCAATTAAGTCCCAAGCTACAAAAGCACAATATGAATTATCTTCTTGTGTCCATACAAAAAGGCCATTGCCTTAAAGTAAACTATTCAAAAGACAGAAGGAGAAGAGAAAGGCGATATCAACTTACAAGTCCAGTGTCCTAAAAGACTCTGACCTTACAGATTGGCAGATTCTGATTAGGGGAAAAGCTGATTAACTGGTTGGGGAGGAGAGCATAGAGAAGTGGTTACAGACAAACAAAGGAATGGGAGTGACTCAGGAGCACTGTGATGGGTGCAACCCGACCAACCTAAGCTCCCTGTGGCAAGGGAGAAAGGACAAAGCAAGTATCCTACACTCACACACACACACACACACACACACACTCACACACACACACACACACACACACACTGCACTCACCTATTCTCACACTCAGCCGTGTGCAGGTTGAGGAAGGGGCCGCGACCCTTGCCCCCCCTTCTCCCTTTGCCCGGGGCTTCCTCTCCTGCAGGGACCTTTGTTTATCCTTGGGATGACCTTGCAGCTGGCAGGGGGGCACACTCTGCCTAGGACCCCAGCGGCGGCGGGCAGGGAAGCAGGAGTGCCCCCTGCAGGCAGGGCGGGGTGGCAGCCAGCCTCTGTCCTCTGCTCTTGTCCCTTGTGGCCGGGCTGCCCATGTTGGGGAGCGTGAGCGGGGCGTCCCTGCAAGGCGTAGGGGTCCCGTGTCCCTCGTGCCCAGCCGCATACGTGTGTCCCGCGTGGGGACAGGACATGCTGGGGGGAGGTGCCTGAGACCCCCGCCTCGTGCCCAGGAGCCTCTGCCCAGCCCACCGCTCTAGTTAAAGGCTGGACGGTGGCAGCAGTGAGTGGATGCCACCGGGCTCTGCGTGAGGGCTCCTTGCTGCTGACGGCCCCTAAGTGCTGCCTGCCTGCATGTGCAATGCCCTCAGAGCATTGTTTTGGGAGCACTCAGTCCTGGCTCCCATGCCCAACTCAGGCGGTCACCTGTGCTTGGACAGTGGACAGCAGGCGCGACTCACGGCCACCCAGGCTGTGCCCTGGCCTGACCGCTGTGCCCTGCTCAGGGTGCTGGGATGCCACAACCCCAAGAGCTAATGGGGCCAGCACGACTGCCCCCGTTGGACCCGGGCTTCCTGCTCGTGAGATTCAGGGGCCCCGTCACTGTGTCCCAGTGGAAGAGGGTGCTGTGGGGTCAGCCCTGCCGTTTCAGGGACTCGTGACCCCTAGGCCAGAGCCAGGGCCGCTGGGAGACGTGACCCGTCACCCTAACTGAGATTTGAAGGCCACAGTCCGGCCGGGTCTAGGGGACGGGCGGGGACGAGATGGATTTCTGTGCCAGGGTCGCACAGGGGGACCCGGGAGGTGGGCCGGCTGCAGTCTGTGGGGCGCGTGTGCCGTGGCCAGACCCCCCTGCCCTGCACCCACATCGCCTGCTATTGCGGTAGGTTGTGGGGCCGTGGGACAGCGGGCGGGTCGGGCCACCACTGACTCCCCCCGTTGCACCCACAGTCGTCGAGGTCAACAAGAGGGACATCTTGTTTCTGGTGGACGGCACCTCGTCACTGGGCCAGGCCAGCTTCAACGCCATCCGCGAATTCCTCGTCAAGGTCATCCAGACGCTGGAGGTCGGCCAGGACCTCGTCCAGGTGGCCGTGGCCCAGTACGCGGACACGGTCCGGCCCGAGTTCTACTTCAACACTCACCCGGGCCGCAGGGAGGTGGTGGCCGCCCTGCGCAGGATGAAGCCCATGGACGGCGCCGCCCGCTACACGGGCTCCGCCCTCGACTTGGTCCGCGACCGCTTCTTCTCCAGCGCTGCCGGCCACCGGGCCTCCGAGGGCGTCCCCAAGCTGCTGGTGCTGATCACAGGTGGGCGGTCGCTGGATGATGTAAGCCGGCCGGCCCAGCGGCTCCATCGCGCTGGCATCATGGCCTTCGCCGTGGGCAGCAAGGCGGCCGACGAGGCTGAGCTGCGGGAGGTGGCCTTCGACAACTCCCTGGTCTTCGTGCCGGCCGAGTTCCGCACGGCCCCCCTGCACACGCTGCTCCCCCGCCTGGTGGCCCTGCTCAGGACCTTCTCGGGGATCACGGAAGGTGAGGGACTGTCGGGGGCTGTGGGGGCACTGATGTGGGCGTGGGGAAGGGGCTTCTGGAACCACAGGAGGCTCCGGGGGTGCGGGGTGTTGGGCCACGGGTGGTGGGCTTCCCTGGACTGTGAGAGGGGCAGGGCTGCTCTCTGGGGAGACGGAAGCCGGCCACCCTCTGCCCGCCCCTGGATCGGGGGGGGGGGGGCGGTGCGGCGAGGCGTAAGTCTGAGCCCGGGTGCAGGGAGGGGCGCGGCGTGCAGGCGGGAGAGGCGCGGGCTGTGGGCAGGGGTCTGTGGCCAGGGCTGGGACACGCCCTCTGGCTGCTCAGGCCGCCGGTTCGCATCTGCTTGGGGCCTCACTGGGCTGCTCCTGGCCACAGTGCTCAGCAATACTGTGGGGCGGGGCCACACTCAGGCCCTGAGCCACCGCCCTGGCTGCTGGTTTGCTGGTGTCTCAGGCCATGGGGCGAGCACTGTCCGCTGAGCACCGCCCGGGCCTGGCCTCCCGGTCCCCGGCTGTCCTGCCAGACTCACAGCCCTCAGGTCTGCCAAAGGCTGTGCATCTCTGTGGGGTCAACCCAGGCCGGGTCCGGGGCGGTCGGCGGCGCCATCCCTCGGCCCTCACTGGACGCGCCCTGTCCCTCGCAGAGAGCAAGCGGGACGTTCTGTTCCTGCTGGACGGCTCGGCCAACCTGGTGGGCCAGTTCCCCGCCGTGCGCGACTTCCTCTACAAGGTCGTCGAGGAGCTGGACGTGCGTCCGGGCAGCATGCGAGTGGCCGTGGCGCAGTTCAATGACCAAGAGGCCCACGAGAGGAGCCCTCAGACCTGGGTGCACCCGACTCCTCCCGGGGGTCCGGGGCGCCTCAGAGACGAGTGCGTTCCCGTCCCAAGTCACCCGCGCCACCCGCACTGATGTGTCCCTCCCCCGCAGACGTGCCCAGCGACGCGGCCGACATCGTCTTCCTGATCGACAGCTCGGACGGCGTGAAGCCCGAAGGCCTGGCCCACATCCGGGACTTCGTGGGCAAGATCGTGCGGAAGCTCAGCGTCGGGCCCAGCCGGGCGAGGGTGGGCGTAGTGCAGTTCAGCGACGAGGTGCACCCCGAGTTCTACCTGAAGACCCACAGGGCGCAGGGGCCCATGCTGGAGGCCATCCGCCGCCTGCGCTTCAAGGGCGGCGCCCCCCTCAACACCGGCAAGGCGCTGGAGTTCGTGGCCAGGAACCTCTTCGTCAAGTCGGCCGGGAGCCGCATCGAGGAGGGCGTCCCCCAGTTCCTGGTGCTCATCTCCTCGGGGAGGTCCAGCGACGAGGTGGACGAGCCGGCCGCCGAGCTCAAGCGGGCGGGCGTGGCCCCGCTCACCGTGGCCAGGAACGCTGACCGCGAGGAGCTGCTCAAGATCTCCCTGAGCCCCGAGTACGTGTTCTCCCTGAGCACCTTCCGGGAGCTGCCCACCCTGGAGCAGAAGCTGCTCACGCCCATCGCCACGCTGACGGCCCAGCAGATCCAGCACCTGCTGGACGCCTCGACCTACCCGCCCCCAGGTGAGACGAGGGTGGGGGGGGGGGGCGGCGGGCAGGGCTGCACCTTCAGTCACTCTCCCAGGCCCAGGGCGTTTAGGGTCTAGGGAGCTGCCTCACTGCTCCAGCTGTGGCTAAATACTGGCCACGGGGGCTCCTGACCAGCCCTCAAGGGCCCCCGAGTGCAGGCTGCTGTTTGCTGAGTCGATTCCCTCAGGAAAGCGTCTCACTTCCTGTCCTCCTCCACTCAGCAGCGTCACCTCACTGAGGGGTCCCCAGATGCTGCCGTCCTGTTCCTAACTTCTGTCCACAGAGCACAGGGACATGGTCATTTTTCTGGGTCCTGTGGCACTTGGGTTGACGACTGTGAATGGTGCAGCTGGTGGCTCAGGGACCAAACAACCTGAAAAATGACAGTTGACGAGCATTTTCCTGGCCCGAGAGGTCTCCTTCCACCCTGTGGATTCCCACTTTGGGGCCTTCTCTCACCTCGTACCACTTTCCCCAGAGACTGCAGTGATTCCCACTGCTGCCAGCGGTGTCAGAATCTCCCCCCTGGGCCAGCCCTCTCCCTGTGCTGCCCTCGCTGTTGACCGTCTTTTGGAAACCGCCACTCTCACAGGTGCAGGCACTGGCTCTGGGGCGATGGCCCACGTGTCTCTTAGTCAGTCCCGCTGAGCGCCTCCTTGACGTGCGACTGTGCTGTTTCCGTGTCATGTTTTGTGATGGCTGGTGTCTTGTGCTTGATGTTTTGGCTCTACAGTGCACAGTCTGGTGTGGGACGTGTGAGACTTCCTGCTCAGAGTGTGACCTGTGGGATCTGTGTTGGTCTCTTCTACACAATCAGAGCGTTTTCGTCTGCTGTGAGGCTGTTTGCTTACTTTCACGTGTATTTCTATGGCTGGTGGGCTGAAGCCCCAAGCGTGTATGTGAAGCGAATGTTGGGATTGGATACCTCCCTGAGGTGAATGTCAGGGTACAACCACATCCCTGAGGAAAATATCGGGACAGAACCATCTCCCTGAGGTGAAAGGCAGGACAAGGCCAACTCCCTGAGGTGAATGTCAGGATACAACCACATCCTTGAGATGAATGCCGGGACAGAAAAATGTTTCTGAGGTGAATGCCCTGACAGGACCACCTCTCTGAGGTGAATGTTGGGACAGGACAACTTCCCTGAGGTGAACGTTGGGACAGAACATCCTTCTGAGGTGAATGCTCTGACAGGACCACCTCTCTGAAGTGAATGTTGGGACACAGGATGACTTCCCTGAGGTGAAGGTTGGGACAGAACATCCTTCTGAGGTGAATTCCCTGACAGGACCACCTCTCTGAAGTGAATGTTGGGACAGACCATCCTTCTGAGGTGAATGCCCTGACAGGACCACCACTCTGAAGTGAATATTGGGACAGGACCACCTCCCTGAGGTGAATGCCAGGATACAACCACATCCTTGAGGTGAATGCCGGGACAGAAAAATGTTTCTGAGGTGAATGCCCTGACAGGACCACCTCTCTGAAGTGAATGTTGGGACAGGACCACCTCCCTGAGGTGAATGTCAGGGTACAACCACATCCCTGAGGAAAATATCGGGACAGAACCATCTCCCTGAGGTGAAAGGCAGGACAAGGCCAACTCCCTGAGGTGAATGTCAGGATACAACCACATCCTTGAGATGAATGCCGGGACAGAAAAATGTTTCTGAGGTGAATGCCCTGACAGGACCACCTCTCTGAAGTGAATGTTGGGACAGGACCACCTCCCTGAGGTGAATGTCAGGGTACAACCACATCCCTGAGGAAAATATCGGGACAGAACCATCTCCCTGAGGTGAAAGGCAGGACAAGGCCAACTCCCTGAGGTGAATGTCAGGATACAACCACATCCTTGAGATGAATGCCGGGACAGAAAAATGTTTCTGAGGTGAATGCCCTGACAGGACCACCTCTCTGAGGTGAATGTTGGGACAGGACAACTTCCCTGAGGTGAACGTTGGGACAGAACATCCTTCTGAGGTGAATGCTCTGACAGGACCACCTCTCTGAAGTGAATGTTGGGACACAGGATGACTTCCCTGAGGTGAAGGTTGGGACAGAACATCCTTCTGAGGTGAATTCCCTGACAGGACCACCTCTCTGAAGTGAATGTTGGGACAGACCATCCTTCTGAGGTGAATGCCCTGACAGGACCACCACTCTGAAGTGAATATTGGGACAGGACCACCTCCCTGAGGTGAATGCCAGGATACAACCACATCCTTGAGGTGAATGCCGGGACAGAAAAATGTTTCTGAGGTGAATGCCCTGACAGGACCACCTCTCTGAAGTGAATGTTGGGACAGGACCACCTCCCTGAGGTGAATGTCAGGGTACAACCACATCCCTGAGGAAAATATCGGGACAGAACCATCTCCCTGAGGTGAAAGGCAGGACAAGGCCAACTCCCTGAGGTGAATGTCAGGATACAACCACATCCTTGAGATGAATGCCGGGACAGAAAAATGTTTCTGAGGTGAATGCCCTGACAGGACCACCTCTCTGAGGTGAATGTTGGGACAGGACAACTTCCCTGAGGTGAACGTTGGGACAGAACATCCTTCTGAGGTGAATGCTCTGACAGGACCACCTCTCTGAAGTGAATGTTGGGACAGGATGACTTCCCTGAGGTGAAGGTTGGGACAGAACATCCTTCTGAGGTGAATTCCCTGACAGGACCACCTCTCTGAAGTGAATGTTGGGACAGGATGACTTCCCTGAGGTGAAGGTTGGGACAGAACATCCTTCTGAGGTGAATGCCCTGACAGGACCACCTCTCTGAAGTGAATGTTGGGACAGGACGACTTCCCTTAGGTGAATGTTGGGACAGAACATCCTTCTGAGGTGAATGCCTTGACAGGACCACCTCTCTGAAGTGAATGTTGGGACAGGACCACCTCCCTGAGGTGAATGTCAGGGTACAACCACATCCCTGAGGTGAATATCGGGACAGAACCATCTCCCTGAGGTGAAAGGCAGGACAAGACCAACTCCCTGAGGTGAATGTCGGGGTACAAATACATCCCTGAGGTGAATGTCAGGCAGAAAAATCCTTCTGAGGTGAATGCCCTGACAGGACCACCTCTCTGAAGTGAATGTTGGGACAGGAACACCTCCCTGAGGTGAATGTCAGGGTACAACCACCTCCATGAGGTGAGTGTTGGGACAGGACCACCTCTTTCCTCTGATACTATTTATGATTCCTGAGAATTGTTGTAGTTCTTATTTTTTTAAATTATTTTTTTAACATTTAAAAGTGTTTCAATCTTAAGGCAACTGATTTACATAGTGAATCACAGTTGAGTTTCAGGTGAGCATTGTGCCATCAGCAATCCCACCTCCAGGGACAACTTCCCTCCAGGTATGGCCACAGGCTCTTTGCCACCCCCAGGCTTCCCCCTTAGCAGGTGCATTGTTCATTTGGGTTGTTGTGATTTGAAACTCCTGCTTTGAGTGGCTCTGTGATCAGAGCACACTCCTGGGGAACACACAAGTGTGTGTTTTGTGTGTGTGTGCTTATGTGTGCATGTGTATATGTGTGCCAGTGCCTTGTGTGCATGTATGTGTGTGATGTATACGTGTGTGCATGTATGCATGTATGGGCATGTATGTGTCCGTGTGCAGGTGTGTGTGCACATGTGTGTATGTGCATGTGTGCACATTTGTATGTGTGTGTGTGTGCGTGCAGGGGGCTTGTCTGTCAGTCTTTGTGTCCCTACACCGCCTTTGCCCATGGGGCCTCTCTGGGTGCTACTGAGCTGCCGGATCCAGGGCCTCGGGCTCTGTGCCAGCCTGTCCCTCTCCATGGGCAGGGCCACGTGCCCATCAGCCCAGGGACCTTGGCTCAGGGTCAGAGGGGAGGTGGGCTTGTCCGTGGCCACCTGGGCCCTTCCTGAAGGGAGGTGGAGGCTCGGGGAGATGTGGGGCATCTTCTGCTCGGAGACTCCACAGACAGTTAACAACGAACTTGGGTAGAGAAAGCCCGAAAATCCTAGTGAGAGTCAGAAACTGCAAATACCCTGAGTCATCCTTCCTCCCTCCAGATGTCATGGCGGTGACTCTTGCCCTTTGACCTCTGCTCTTTCCCTCGTCCCCAACAAGGACCTGGCCCCTCCCAGTAGGAATGGTCTGTGAGCCTGCGGGTTAGCGTTTATCAACCAGAAGCAGAGAGAGAAAACGTGTAAGGGGGAACCTGCCAGTGGGGGAAAACTGAGTCAGATAGGTCCAGGGCCGGAAGAAGGTGAGAATCAAGGGTCAGTGGCGCTGACCTCACGCTATTTCTAAATGCTGATTTGTCCGTGGAAACCAGTTGAAACGGGGACCGCAGGCCCCAAATTAGAGCGCCCGCAACAGAGAAAATTTTGAGACAACTTGAGCCATTTCAGGAAGCAGAAATGCTGGGGTGCGAAGGGGTCCCTTTGCGGTGATGCCACCGAGAGGCCCACGAGAGGAGCCCTCAGGCCTGGGTGGACCCCACTCCTCCCGGGGGTCCGGGGCGCCTCAGAGACGAGTGTGTTCCCGTACTGAGTCACCCGCGCCGCCCGCGCTGACGTGTCTCTCCCCCGCAGACGTGCCCAGCGACGCGGCCGACATCGTCTTCCTGATCGACAGCTCGGACGGCGTGAAGCCCGCAGGCCTGGCCCACATCCGGGACTTCGTGGGCAAGATCGTGCGGAAGCTCAGCATCGGGCCCAGCCGGGTGAGGGTGGGCGTAGTGCAGTTCAGCGACGAGGTGCACCCCGAGTTCTACCTGAAGACCCACGAGGCGCAGGGGCCCATGCTGGAGGCCATCCGCCGCCTGCGCTTCAAGGGCGGCGCCCCCCTCAGCACCGGCAAGGCGCTGGAGTTCGTGGCCAGGAACCTCTTCGTCAAGTCGGCCGGGAGCCGCATCGAGGACGGGGTGCCCCAGCACCTGGTGCTCTTCCTGGGCGGCAGGTCCCAGGACGACGTGTCCAGGTTCTCTCAGGTCATCCGGAACTCGGGCATCATGAGCTTGGCCATCGGGGACCGGAACAGCGACAGGACCGAGATGCAGGTCATCACCAGCAACCCGGGCCACGTGGTCACCGTGCGCGAGTTCAAGGAGCTGCCCAGGGTGGAGGACAAGGTCATGGACTCCTTCGGTGGGCCCAGGGTCACGCCTGCACCTCCGGACATAGACACGCCCTCCCCGTCACGGCCAGGTAGGTGCCCACAGGGACGGGCTTGTCACAGTTGCTGTAGAAGCTTCCAGAAAGGAAAGGCTGGGACTCCAGGGAGGAGGGAGGGCCTCGGCGCCTGCCTACCCAGCACATATGGTCGCCAGTTCCCCGCTGGCCCGAGGGTCTCCAAATCCCCCCTGGCCCCAGGGTTCCCGTGGCCCTGCTGGAGAGACCCCTGAATACTGCCGGATACTCAGTGCCCTCCGGGACCCCCAAATGAAACAATGGAGAAGTGATTCCCTGGGAGTCAGGGTGTCCTTGGGGGTGCCCACCGAGGAAGGAGCTGTGGCCGTCAGGCTGACCCGACGCCAGGAGCCCCTCCAACTTGCATCTTCTCCCCTGTCCCCGGCGCCCGCAGGGCCACTCCCGTCTCCATCAGTTAGAATCAGGGGCTGTTCCCAAGCCCGTGTGTTCTCAGCAGTTCACGAAGGTGGTCGGGGTCCACACCCTGTTTTGTAACCTTCTCCTACTCACTCCGTTCTGCCCCGGCGACACCTGCCCCCACCCCCCGCCTCCCTCGGCATCACTGTTAGATGGTGGGGGGCTCCCGGGGGCCACTCCCGGTGACACACAGACTCTGACGCTAGAGCCCGACACCCAGAGGCGCCCACAGCCCATGCGTCAGCCCTCGGCTCTCCGGGGCCGGGCCTGATTCTGGGACCTTGTCGAGGGTGCCAGCGCCCAGGCCCCGCCATCTGCCTCAGACACGGGCGGCCCGTTTCTCCTTTCCTCCCGGGCCTCGCGCGTGCCGGAGCGGGTGTCTGTCGCCAGGCCTGGCCCGCCGGCGTCCTCGTCACCGTCTGCCCATTCGCGCCCCGGCCGGAGCTGAGTTCCCGCTCACCCTCCTTTGCCTCGTGTTCAGAGAAGAAGAAGGCGGACATCGTGTTCCTGCTGGACGGGTCCATCAACTTCCGGAAGGACAGCTTCCGGGAGGTGCTGACCTTCGTGTCGGGGATCGTGGACACGCTGTACGAGGAGGGCGACTCCATCCAGGTGGGGCTGGTGCAGTACAACTCGGACCCCACGGACGAGTTCTTCCTGAGGGAGTTCTCCAGCAAGCAGCAGGTCCTGGACGCCATCGGCAAGGTGGTGTACAAGGGCGGGCGGCACGCCAACACCAAGGTGGGCGTCCAGCACCTGCAGCAGCGCCACTTCGTGCCCGAGGCGGGCAGCCGGCTGGACCAGAGGGTCCCGCAGATCGCCTTCGTCGTCATGGGCGGGAAGTCGGTGGAGGACGCGCAGCAGGCCAGCCTGGCGCTCACGCGGCAGGGCGTGAAGGTGTTCGCCGTGGGCGTGAGGGACGCCGACTCCCAGGAGGTGGGCAGGGTCGCGTCCAACAGCGCCACGGCCTTCCGCGTGGGCTCCGTCCAGGAGCTGTCCGAGCTCAGCGAGCAGGTGCTGGAGACCCTGTACGACGCCATGCACGAGACCTTGTGCCCGGGGGTCACCGACGTCTCCAAAGGTGAAGCCCCGCCCCCGCCCCAAGCCCCTCTCCCTCTGCCCCTCGGGGCTGGCTGCCTCCTGGGGGGTCCAGAGACTGGCCACGAGCTGGCGGCCACTCCAGCTATCGGGAGATGATGCTAGGTCTGCCCGTCCGGAGGGGCTGCCCGCCCGGCCGGTGTCTAGCCTGGATGTGTGGGCTGAACTACCGAGAGGTGCTGCAGGCTTAATCACTGAGAGATGCTGCAGACTTAGTTACTGAGGGGTGCTGCGGGCTGAGTTAGCTAGAGGTGCTGTGGGCTTAGTCACTGAGAGGTGCTGCAGGCTTAGCTACCGAGAGGTGCTGCAGGCTGAGTTAGCGAGAGGTGCTGTGGGCTGAGTTACTGAGAGGTGCTGTGGGCTGAGTCACTGAGAGGTGCTGCAGGCTTAGTTACCGAGAGGTACTGCGGCTTAGTTATTGAGAGGTGCTGTGGGCTTAGTTACCAAGAGGTACTGTGAGCTGAGTTACCGAATGGTGCTGCAGGCTTTGCTACTGAGAAGTGCTGAGGGCTTAGTTACTGAGAGGTGTTGCGGGCTTAGTTCCTGAGTGGTGGCTGCAGACTGGCCGTGCAGACTGAGTCATCGCCATCGGCTCTGCCCCCCATCCCCTTTCTCGACCGTGTCCCGGCCCTCTCGCTGTGCCCGGCTGTCACCTCAGCCTGTCCGCAGAGCTGCACCGTCTGGCGTCTAACTCTCTGACGGTCTCTCTGACGTGCCGTCCAGAGCTGACGGTCTCCATGCCGGTGCCCCGGGGTCGGCCTTGCTGTCTCGCCTGCTCCTGGGGCCACGGCAACCAGGCCCGGGGGCAGCAGGCAGTGTCCTCAGATGACCCGGCAGGGAGAGGGTGGAACTTTGGCTTTTCTTGGCCTTACAGGATTTACCCCCCAGCCCCAGCCTAGGCTCCCAGAACCCGTGCTCAAGGCCTTCTTGCCCACAGCCTTCCGTGAGACCCGTCCCCTGCCAGGAGGTCACTTGCTTGAGCTCATCCTCACCTGCCCTGAGGTTATCCACCACCTGGGCGCCCGTGGGCTCCGTCCCCTGTCCCGCCCTGAACTGGGTCCCCGGCAGGCAGAGAGGACGTAGGGACAGCTCTGCTGCGGGTCCCGGCCCTGGGCATTCGCCTTCCGTGGAGGGACGCCCCTCCCCCCGCCCGAAGGAGGAAGGAGGAAGGAATGAAGGAAGGAGAAAGGAAGGAGGAAAGAGAAGGTCAGGAGGGAGGGGGGAAGGGGGAAGGGGAGGGTGGGTCCACAGAGGCTCCCGCAGGGGGGCGGCGAGGCCTATGTCTGAGCCCGGGTGCAGGGAGGGGCGGGGCGTGCGGGCGAGAGAGGCGCGGGCTGTGGGCAGGGGTCTGGCCAGGGCTGGGACGCGCCCTCTGGCTGCTCAGGCCGCTGGTTCGCGTCTGCTTGGGGCCTCACTGGGCTGCTCCTGGCCGCAGTGCTCAGCGATACTGTGGGGCAGGGGCCATACTCAGGCCCTGAGCCGCCACCCCGGCCGCTGGTTTGCTGGTGTCTCAGGCCGAGAGGCGAGCACTGTCCGCTGAGCACTGCCCGGGCCTGGCCTCCTGGTCCCCGGCTGTCCTGTCAGACTCGCGCCCCTGAGGTCTGCCGAAGGCCGCGTGTCTCTACGGGGTCTTCCCAGGCCAGGTCCGGGGCGGTCGGCGGCGCCATCCCTCGGCCCTCACTGGACGCGCCCTGTCCCTCGCAGAGAGCAAGCGGGACGTCCTGTTCCTGCTGGACGGCTCGGCCAACCTGGTGGGCCAGTTCCCCGCCGTGCGCGACTTCCTCTACAAGGTCGTCGAGGAGCTGGACATGTGTCCGGGCAGCACGCGGGTGGCCGTGGCGCAGTTCAGCGACGACGTGCGGGTGGAGTCGCGCTTCAGCGAGCACCAGAGCAAGGCCGAGCTCCTGGGCCTGGTGAAGCGCCTGAAGATCAAGACGGGCAAGGCGCTCAACCTGGGCTACGCGCTGGACTTCGCGCTGCGGCAGCTGTTCGTGAGGGCGGCCGGGAGCCGTGTGGAGGAGGGCGTGATGCAGTTCCTGGTGCTGCTGGTGGCCGGCAGGTCGTCGGACGGCGTGGCCGGGCCGGCCCAGGCCCTGCGCCAGAGCGGCGTGGTCCCCTTCGTCCTCCAGGCCAAGAGCGCCGAGCCGGCCGAGCTGGAGCAGGTCGTGCCCTCCCGCGCCTTCATCCTGGTCACCGAGTCGCTCCCCAAGATCGGGGAACTGCAGCCTCAGATCGTCAACCTGCTGAAGACGGTGCAGAACGGGGCAGTGGCTCCAGGTACGGCGCGGCGGGCCCCTCACCTCGGGGGGCTTCTCCCCTGCCGGGATGCCAGGACCTTCGCAGGTCCCCTCCTGGAACTTAGGGGAAGGGCGGGCGGGGGCGAGGGGTCGCTGCCTCCGCAGGGTTCCCTGGGGGCTTCCCTCCCCTCTCAGGCTCCTGGACAAACGGAGCCATCAGGGACTCCCGGGAGACTAGAACATTTGCTAATAAGGATTCAGATGACGCCATGTTAGGGCCCTTTCCTGAGCACAGTCGACAGTCGACTGAGGCTGAGTCCCTGTCACCAGTGACGGTCCCCTGAGTCCCACTAAGAGGGAACCCTGAGCACAGAGCCGGGAGTCAGCCCTGAGCACAGAGCCAGGAGTCAGCTCTGAGTACAGAGCCAGGAGTCAGCCCTGAGCACAGAGCTGGGAGTGAGCCCTGAGCACAGCACAGGGAGTGACCTGGTGGTCCCTGGCTGTATCTCATCCTCCGGTCTCCCTTACCGAGTGGGGCCAGCCCCGCCCAGGCTGCTGCCCACCGAGTGTCCTGAAGTCACACAGAGCCCACCAGTCCCCATCCTCACAGTCCCGGGTGTCTCACTCCCGGGGTGCCCTGGGGCCACACATTCACTTCCCACCCTCCCCACGATGCCAGGGCTGAGCAGCGTCCAGGAGCACTGAAATGCAGCTCCCAAGGAGCACGTTCCGCAGCACAAAGTCCAGGTGGCACCCGTACTGGGGCCGGGGCCTCCCCGCAGGTTCAGCCCACGCACAGCGCTGACCACGACCTCCCGGTCCAGGTAGGAGTTGAGGTAGAACTTGGACCGGGTCCAGTTGCTGTACTGCACCAGCGCTATGTGCATGCGGTCAGGGCCCACGTCCAGGCTCTCCACCACACTCTGCATGAAGGCCTGGAGCAGCAGGAAGCCGCCGCACCTCCCTGAGGTGAATATCTGTACAGGACAGCCTTCTGAGGTAAATGTCAGGAAAATACCATATCCCTGAGGTGAATGTGGAGACAGGACAGCCTTCTAAGGTGAATGTCGGGACAGGACCACCTCCCTGAGGTGAATGTCGGGGTACAACCACATCCCTGAGGTGAATGTCTCTACAGGACAGCCTTCTAAGGTAAATGTTGGGACAGGATTAAAAGAACCATCTCCCTGAGGTGAATGTTGGTACGGACCACCTACCTGAGGTGATTTTCAGACAGGACCACATCCCTGACGTGAATGTCGGGACAGGACCATCTCCCCGTGGTTAATGTCGGAGTACAACCATATCCCTGAGGTGATTGTCGGTAAACAACAGTCTTCTATGGTGAATGTCAGGACAAGACATATCCCTGAGGTGAATGTGGGGACAGGACAGCCTTCTAAGGTGAATGTCAGGACAAGACTACCTCCCTGAAGTGAATGTTGGTATAGGACCACCTCCCTGAGGTGAATGTCGGGGTACAACCACATCCCTGAGGTGAATGTCTGTACAGGACAGCCTTCTGAGGTGAATGTCGGGACAGGATAAAAAGGACCATCTCCGTGAGGTGAATGTTGGTACAGATGACCTCCCTAATGTGATTTTGGACAGGACCACATCCCTGACTTGAATGTCGGGACAGGACCAACTCCCCTAGGTGAATATCAGGGTACAGCCACATCCCTGAGGTGAATGTCGGTAAACAACAGCCTTCTGAGGTGAATGTTGTGACTGGACCACCTCCCTGAAGTGAATGTAGGGAAAGGATCACCTCCCTGAGGTGAATGTCAGGACAGAACCAATTCCCTGAGGCAAATGTTGGGACAGAACAATCTCCCTACAGTGAAATTCGGGACAGGACCACCACCCATAGGTGAATATTGGGACAGGACCACCTTCTTGAGGTTAATGTATAAGAACAAGCACATCCCTGAGGTGAATGTCGGTATAGGACAGCATTCTGAGGTGAATGTTGGGAGAGGATCAACAGAACCCTACCTCCCTGAGGTGACTTTTGGGAGAGGACCACCTCCCTGAGGTGAGTATCAGGTTCAACCATATCCTGGAGGTAAATGTCAGTACCGGACAGCCTTTTGTGGTGAATGTTGGCACAGGACCACCTACCTTTGTGACTGGCGGGACAAGACCACCTCCCTGATGTGAAAGTCAGGTTACAACCACATACCTGTGGTAAATCGGTACAGGATAGCCTTCTGAGTTGAATGTTGGGATGACAAAAAAAAAAGAATGTTGGGATTGGACCACCTCCCTGAGGTGAATGGCGAGACAGGACTACCTCCTTTAGGGAAATGTCAGAGTACAACCACATCTCTAAGGTCAATGTTGGTACAGGAGAGCCTTTTGAGTTGAATTTCCGGAAAGGACCACCTCCCTGAGGTGAATTTCAGACAGGACCACCTCCCAAGCTCATTGTCGGGGTACAACCATATCCCTGAGGTGAATGTCGGTACAGAACAGCCTTCTGACGTGAATGTTGGGATAGGACCATATCCCTGAGGTGAATGTCGGGACAGGATCACCTCCTTTAGGTGAATATTGGGGTACAACCACATCCCTCACACGGCAGAGTCTGGCAAACTCCCCGTGGAGTACCCAATATGCCAAATACCAGTAACAATGATGGGTCTCATTCTCCTAACTCTGAAAGAGCCTTGAATGTGGCACTTTTTAAAAAAAAATCTCAGGATTAGGATGAAGGAGACATTACTGGGGCCTGCTCGAGGCAATCGACGAATAACAGGATAGTCATGATCGTGAACCACATCCCTAAGGTGAATGGTTGTACAGGACAGCATTTTGAGGTGAATTTCCAGACAGGACTACCTCCCTGAGGTGAATTTCAGACAGGACCACCTCCCCAAGGTCAATGTCGGGGAACAACCATATCTGTGAGGTGAATGTCGGTACAGAACAGCCTTCTGAGGTGAATGTTGGGACAGGACATATCCTTGAGATGAATATCAGAATAGGACCACCTCTCTGAAGTGAATGTCGGGACAGGATCAGCTCCCTGAGGTAAACAGGACAGGACCAACTCTCTACGGTGAATGTTTGAGCAGACCACCTCCCTAAGGTGAATGTCGGACAGAACCACCACCCTCAGGTGAATGTTGGGACAGGACCACATCCTTGAGGTAAATGTCAGTGTACAACCACATCCTGAGGTGAATATTGGTACAGGACAGCCATCTGAGTTGAATGTTGGGACAGGATCAACAGGACCACCTCCCTGAGGTGAATGTTGAGACAGGACCACCTCCCTGAGGTGAATTTCGGACAGGACTACCTCCCCGAGGTCAATGTTGGGGAACAACCATATCTGTGAGGTAAATGTCGGTACAGAAGAGCCTTTTGAGGTGAATGTCAGGACAGGACCATATCCCGGAGATGAATGGCAGAATAGGACCACCTCTCTGAAGTGAATGTCGGGACAGGATCAGCTCCCTGAGGTGAACAGGACAGGACCAACTCTCCGAGATGAATGTTTGAGCAGACCACCTCCCTAAGGTGAATGTGGGACAGTACCACCACCCTCAGGTGAATGTCGGGACAGGACCACCTCCTTGAGGTAAATGTCCGGGTACAACCACATCCTGAGGTGAATGTCGGTACAGGACAGCCTTCTGAGGTGAATGTCGGGAAAGGATCAACAGGACCACCTCCCTGAGGTGAATGTTGAGACAGGACCACCTCCCTGAGGTGACTGTCAAGACAGGATCACTTCCCTGAGGTGAATGTCAGGTGCAACCATTTCCCTGAGTTGAATGTCGGTACAGGACAGCCTGCTGAGGTGAATGTTGGGATAGAACCATCTCCCTGATGTGAATGTCAGGACAGGACCACCTAGCTAAGGTGAATGTAGGGACATGACCACCTTCCTGAGGTGAATGTTGGGACAGGACTACCTCCCTCAGGTGAATGTTGGGACAGGACCACCTCCCTCAGGTAAATGTCGGAACAGAACAACTCCTTGAGATGAACGTCGATGAACATCTCTGAGGTGAATGTCTGTACAGGACAGCCTTCTGAGGTAAATGTCGGGACAGAATAAAAAGGACCAACTCCCTGAGGTGAACCTTGGTACAGGACCATCTCCCTGAGGTGAGTGTCAAGACAGGACCAGCTCCCTGTGGTGAAAGTCAGGTACAACCATATCCTTGAGGTGAATTTCGGTACAGGACAGATTTCTGAGGTTAATGTTGGGACAGAACCACCTCCCTAAACTGCATTTCGGGACAGGATCACCTCCCTGAGGTGAACATCAGGATAGGACCACCTCCCTGAGGTGAATGTCGTGACAGGACCAAGTCCTTGAGGTGAATGTCAGGGCACAACCACAACCCTGAGGTGAATGTTGGTACAGGACAGCCTTCTGAAGGGACTGAAGGGACAGGATCAACAGGACCACCTCCCTGAGGTGAATGTTGGGACAGAACCACCTCCGGAGGTGAGTGTCGAGACAGGAACACCACCCTGTGGTGAATATTGGGACAAAACCACCTACCTGAGGTGATGTTGGGACAGGACCATATGCCTGAGGTGAATGTCTGGATACAACCATATCCCTGAGGTGGATTTTGGTACAGGACAGCCTTCTGAGGTGAAATGGGTTAGGACCTCCTCCCTGAAGTAAATGTTACAACAGGACCACCTAACTGAGGTGATGTTGGGACAGGATCATATGCCTGAGGTGAATATAGGGGTACAACCATATCCCAGAGGTGAATGTCGAACAGGACAGCCTTCTTAGGTGATTGTTGGGACAGGACCACCTCCCTTAGGTGAATGTCAGGATAGGACCATCTCCCTTAGGTGAATGTCGGGACCTGACCACCTCCTTGAGATGAATGTCGGGGTACAACCACATCCCTGAGGTAAATGTCAGTACAGGACAGCCTTTTGAGGTGAATTTCAGGACAACACCACCTCTCTGAGGCGAATGTAAGAACAGGACCACCATCCTGAGGTGAATCTTTGGACAGAACTATCTCTTTCCTCTGATACCATTTATGGTTCCTCAGAATTGTTGTCGTTCTCATTGTTTTTAATTAATTATTTTTAACATTAATAATGTTTCAATCTTAAGGCACCTGATTTACATAGTGACTCATAGTTGAGTTTCAGGTGAGCAATGTGCCATCAGCAATTCCCTCTCCAGCGACAACTCCCCTCCAGTTTGCTCCCTTGGCATTCTCATTGTTCATTTGGGCTGTTGTGATTTCAAACTCCTGCTTTGAGTGTCTCTGTGATTAGGGCTCACTCCTGGCTGACTCAGGAGAACACATGTGTGTCTGTGTGTGTATTGTGTGTGTTGTAAATGTGTGTCTATATGCACATGCCTGCTTGTTTGTTCAATGCTGGGGATCAAACACATTGAGGCAATTGCCCTCCTCACTGTACTATTGCTCCAGCCCAGACACCCATAGATATGCCCCCTGCACCTCCCACCTTGTGTGCTCGAGCACCACCCCAGTACCCAGGTCCAGCTCTTCTTATTCCCCCTTGGTGTTTTTCCTTTTCTGTTTCTGGGCTATAAGAGTGGGTTTGGGCCCCAGTGCTCAGGAGGAACTATGCTCAGTGAAGAGTCGAGGTGCTGAGAGGGGCGGCTCATTGAAGAGAACCACGTCTGTACCAGGGTGAAGAAGGGCACTGGCATGTCGAGAAGCAGGAACAGGATGTCTTGAAAGTTATTTGTGGGCAGGGCCTTCCTGGGCCGAGCGCTGTCCAGAGAACGGGGTGGTTGCTCGAGGAGTGAAATCGGCCTCATTTCCCCACAGTGCATCTCTGTGTGTGTCATATGTGCCTTGTATACATGTGTGTGCATGTTTATATGTGCATTCTGTGCATGTATGTGTGTGTACGTGTGTGTGCATGTGTGGCTTTATGGGCATGTGTGTGTGCTTGCGTATGAGCACATGTGTGTACATTTTTGTGTGTGCGTGCGTGCAGGGGGCTTGTCTGTCAGTCTTTGGGTTCCTCCATGGCCTTTGCTCACTGGGCCTCTCTGGATACTGCTGAGCTGCTGGATCCTTGGGGTCAGGATCCCAGGCCTGGGCACCATGCCAGATGGCTCGTCTCTCTCCATGGGCAGAGTCAGGGGACCCCGATCAGGTCAGAGCGAAGGTGGGCTTATCTGCGGTACGTTGGCTCCTTGATGCTGAGAGTGGGGGTCCCGGGAGGGGACGCCAACAGTGACCTTCGGTCCGCAGGTGTGGGCGGCAAGAGGGACGTGGTCTTCCTCATCGATGGCTCCCAGGCCACGGGCCCCGAGTTCCAGCACATCCGCACCCTCCTCGAGCGGCTGGTGGGCTTCCTGGACGTGGGCTTGGACACGACGCGCGTGTCGGTCGTCCAGTTCAGCGAGGACCCCTGGGTGGAGTTTCTGCTCAACACACACTCCAGCAAGGAGGAGGTGCTGGGCGCCGTGAAGGCGCTGCGGCCCAAGGGCGGCCGGCAGGTGCACCTGGGCACAGCCCTGAAGTACGTGACCAGAAACATCTTCAGGAGGCCCCTGGGCAGCCGCATCGAGGAGGGCGTCCCCCAGTTCCTGGTGCTCATCTCCTCGGGGAGGTCCAGCGACGAGGTGGACGAGCCGGCCGCCGAGCTCAAGCGGGCGGGCGTGGCCGCGCTCACCGTGGCCAGGAACGCTGACCGCGAGGAGCTGCTCAAGATCTCCCTGAGCCCCGAGTACGTGTTCTCCCTGAGCACTTTCCGGGAGCTGCCCAGCCTGGAGCAGAAGCTGCTCACGCCCATCACCACGCTGACGGCCCAGCAGATTCAGCAGCTCTTGGATGCCTCAACCTACCCGCCCCCAGGTGAGATGGGGGGAGGGGGAGGCAGAGGGCGGGGCTGCACCTTCAGTCAATCTCCCAGGCCCAGGGCGTTTAGAGTCTAAGGAGCTGCCTCTCCACTCCAGTTGGGGTAAATACTGGCCACGGGGGCTCCCCAAGTGCAGGCTGCTATGCAGGGCTTTGTTTGCTGACTGGATCCCTACAGGAAAGCGGCTCAAATCCTTTCCTCCTCCACTCAGCAGTGTCACCTCAGTGAGGTGTCCCCAGATGCCGTCGTCCTGTCCGAACTAGTGTCCACAGAACACAGAGACATGGTCACAGAACACAGAGACATGGTCATTTTCCGGGTCCTGTGGTGCTTGGGTTGACAACTGTGAATGGTGTAGCTGTGGGCTCAGGGACAAACATCCTGACAAATGACAGCTGACGAGTGTTTTTATGGCCCAAGAGGTCCTCCCCCACCCTGTGGATTCCCACTTTTGGGCCTTCTTTCACCTCGTCCACTTTCCACAGAGACTGCAAGTGACTCCCACTGCTGCGAGCGGCGTCAGAATCTCCCCACTGGGCCAGCCCTCTCCCTGTGCTGCCCTCGCCTTTTACCATCTTTTAGAAACTGCACTCTCATGGGTGCAGGCACTGGCACTGGAGCTATGGCCTGCGTGTTCCCTTAGTCAGTCCTGCTAAGTGTCTCCTTGTCATGCGACTGTGCTGGCTCTGTGCCATGTTTTGTGATTGCTGGTTTCTTGTGCTAAAGTTTTGGCTCTGCAGCGCACTGTCTGATGTGGGTTGTGTGAGACTTCCTGCTCAGAGTGTGACCTGTGGGGTCTGGCTTTGGTTTCTTTTACCCAATCAGAGCTTTTTGGTCTGCTGTGAAGCTGATTGCTTACTTTCACGTGTGTTTCCATGGCTGTTGGGTTGAAGCCCCAAGTGTGTGTGTGAATTGAATGTTGGGACTGGACACTTCCCTGAGGGCAATGTCAGACAAGACCACCTCCCTGAGGTAAATGTTGGGACAGGATCACCTCCTGGGGTGAAGGTCGGGACACAATCACCTCTCTGAATTGAATGTCAGGGTACAACCACATCCCTGAGATGAATGTCAGGCAAAATCATCTCCCTGAGGTGAAATTGGGATAAGGTCACACCTCCCTGAGGTGAATGTCAGGTCAGGATGACCTCCCTGAGGTGAATTTCGGAACAAGACTACCTTCCTGAGGTGAATGTCAGGACAGGAACACCTCCTTTAGGTGAATGTTGTGGTACAACCACATCCCTAAGATGAAAGTCAGTACAGGACAACCTTTTGCGATGAATTTTGGGACAGAACAATCTCCCTTAGGTGAATTTCGAACAGGACCACCGCCCTGACATGAATGTTGGGACAAGACCACCTCCCCGAGGTGAATGTTGGGGTACAACCATATCCCTGAGGTGAATGTCGGTACACAACAGCCTTCTGAAGTAAATGTCAGGACTGGTCCACCTCCCTGAAGTCAATGTCAGGAAAAGATGGCCTCCCTGAGGTGAATGTCGGGTCAGGACCAATTCCCTGAGGTGAATGTTAGGACAGGATATTCTCCCTGAGGTGAAATTCGGGACAGGACCACCACCCCCAGGTGAATATTGCAACCACCTTTGTGATGTGAATGTTGGGGTACATCCACATCCCTGAGGTGAATGTTGGTATAGGACAGCCTTCTGTGGTGAATGTTGGGACAGGATCAACAGGACCACCTCCATGAGATGAATGTTGGGACAACCTCCCTGAGGTGAGTGTAGAGACAGGACCACTCCCTGAGGTGAATGTCAGATTCAGCCATATCCCTGAGGTGAATGTCGGGACAGGACCACCTCCCTAAGGTGAATGTTGGGAAAGGACAACCTCCCTGAGGTAAATATGGGGAAAGGACCACCTCCCTTTGTGACTGGCAGGGCAGGACCATCTCCTTGAGGTGAAAATCAGGTTATAACCATATCCCTGAGGTAAATCGGTACAGCACAGCCTTCTGAATTGAATGTTGGGACCAGACCACCTCCCTAATGTGAATGTCAGGTTCAACCATATCCCTTAGGTAAATGTCAGGATACGATAGTCTTTTGAGGTGAATTTCCGGACAGGACCACATTCCTGAGGTGAGTTTCGGATAGGACCACCGCCCCGAGGTCAATGTCGAGGTGCAACCATATCACTGAGGTTAATATCAGTACAGAAGAGCCTTCTGAGGTGAATGTCGGGACAGGACCACCTCTCTGAAGTGAATGTTGGGAAAGAATCACCTCCCTGAGGTGAATGTCGGGATAGGACTACCACCCTCAGGTGAATGTTGGGACAGGACCACCTCCCTGAGGTGAATGTCAGGACAGAACCACCACCCTCAGGTGAATGTCAGGACAGGACCACCTCCTTGAGGTAAATGTTGGGGTACAATCTTATTCTGAGGTGAATGTCGGTATAGGACAGCCTTCTGTGGTGAATGTTGGGATAGGACCACTTCCCTGAGATGAGTGTCAAGACAGGACCACATCCCTGTGGTGAATGTTTGGTACAACCATATCCATGAGTTGAATGTCGTACAGGACTTCCTTCTGAGGTGAATGTTGGGATAGGACCAACTCCATGAGATGAATGTTGGGACAGAATCACTTCCCTGATGTGAATGTCGGGACAGGACCACCTCCCTAAGGTGAATGTTGGAACAGGACAACCTCCCTGAGGTAAATGTTGGGACAGGACCACCTCCTGAGATGACTGACGGAACAGGACCACCTCCCTGTGGTGAAAGTGAGGGCACAACCATATCCCTGGGGTGAATCAGTACAGGACAGCCTTCTGAGATGAATGTTGGAACACAACCACCTCCTTCAGGTGAATGTCAGGACCTGACCACCTCCTTGAGGTGAAAGTCGGGGTACAACCATATCCCTGAGGTGAATATTGGTACAGGACAGCCTTTTGAGGTGAATTTTGGGACAGGACCACCTCTCTGACATGAATGTAGGGACAGGACCACCTCCCTGAGGTGAATGTTTGGACAGGACTATCTCTTTCCTCTGATTCCATTTATGGATCCTGAGAATTGTTGTACTTCTCATTTTTAATTAATTTTTTAACATTAAAAACGTTTCAATCTCAAGGCACCTGATTTACATAGTGACTCATAGTTGAGTTTCAGGTGAGCAACGTCTTATCAGCAATCCCCTCTACAGCGACAATTCCCCTCCAGTTTGCCGCCTTGACAGGCTCATTGTTCATTTGGGTCGTTGTGATTTGAAACTCCTGTTTTGAGTGTCTCTGTGACCAGGGCTCACTCCCAGCTGACTCAAGGGGAACACGTGTGTGTCTGTGTGTATGTGTGTGTTGTGTGTGTGTTGTGTATGTGTGTATATATGCACATGCCTGCATGTGTGTTCAATACTGGGGATCAAACAGAGGTGGACCACATGTGAGGCAATTTCCCTCTTCATTATAAAATTGCTCCAGCCCAGACACCCACATATATGCCCCCTGAATCCCCAACCCTGTGTTCTCAAGGCCCCGCCCCAGTGCCCCTGTCCAGCTCTTCTTATTCCTTTTCCATTTCTGATCTATAAGAGCGGGCTCGGGCCTCAGTGCTCAGAAGGAACTATGCTCGATGAAGGGTCAAGGTGCTAAGCAGAGGCAGCTCATTGCGAAGCACTGCGTCTGTGCCAGGGTGAAGAAGGGCACTGGCACATTGGGCCATGGGCACAGGAATGTCTTGAAAGGTGTTTGCGGGCAGGACCTTCCTGGGCCGAGTGCTGCCAAGAGAATGGGATGGTTGGTCGGGGAGTGAAATCGTCCTCATTTGCCCAAGTGCATGTGTGCGTATGTGCATATGTGCCTTGTGTACACATATGTGTGTATATATATGTGTCTTCTGTGCATGTATGTGTGTGTCCGTATGTGTGCATGTGTATGTGTGCTTGCGTATGATCACGTGTGTGTATGTGCTTGTGTGCACAGGGGGCTTTTCTGTCAGTCTTTGGGTCCCTCCATGGGCTTTGCTCGCTGGGCCTCTCTGGGTGCAGCTGAGTCCCTTGGGGTCCGGGTGTCAGGCCTGGGTGCCGTGCCAGCTGGCCTGTCATCTCCATGGGAAGAACCCGGGGACCCAAACTAAGGGTCAGAGGGGAGATGGGCTTATCTGCGGCACGTTGGCTCCTTGATGCTGAGAGTGGGGGTCCCGGGAGGGGATGCCAACAGTGACCTTCGGTCCGCAGGTGTGGGCAGCAAGAGGGACGTGGTCTTCCTCATCGACGGCTCCCAGGCTGCAGGCCCCGAGTTCCAGCACGTCCGCACCTTCCTCGAGAGGCTGGTGGGCTTCCTGGACGTGGGCTTGGACACGACGCGCGTGTCGGTCATCCAGTTCAGCGAGGACCCCTGGGTGGAGTTTCTGCTCAACACACACTCCAGCAAGGAGGAGGTGCTGGGCGCCGTGAAGGCGCTGCGGCCCAAGGGCGGCCGGCAGGTGCACCTGGGCACAGCCCTGAAGTACGTGACCAGAAACATCTTCAGGAGGCCCCTGGGCAGCCGCATCGAGGAGGGCGTCCCCCAGTTCCTGGTGCTCATCTCCTCGGGGAGGTCCAGCGACGAGGTGGACGAGCCGGCCGCCGAGCTCAAGCGGGCGGGCGTGGCCCCGCTCACCGTGGCCAGGAACGCTGACCGCGAGGAGCTGCTCAAGATCTCCCTGAGCCCCGAGTACGTGTTCTCCCTGAGCACCTTCCGGGAGCTGCCCAGCCTGGAGCAGAAGCTGCTCACGCCCATCACCACGCTGACGACCCAGCAGATCCAGCACCTGCTGGACGCCTCGACCTACCCGCCCCCAGGTGAGACAGGGCTGGGGGAGGGGGCGGCGGGCAGGGCTGCACCTTCAGTCACTCTCCCAGGCCCAGGGCGTTTAGGGTCTAGGGAGCCGCCTCCACGCTCCAGCTGTGGCTAAACACTGGCGACGGGGACTCCCAACCAGCCCTCGAGGGCCCCCAAGTGCAGACTGTTGTTTGCTGAGTCGATCCCCTCAGGAAAGCATCTCACTTCCTGACCTCCTGCACTCAGCAGTGTCACCTCGCTGAGGTGTCCCTAGATGCCGCCATCCTGTCCCTAACTAGTGTCCACAGAGCACAGTGACATGGTCATTTTCCGGGTCCTCGGGCACTTGAATTGACAGCTGGAATGGTGCAGCTTTGTGCTCAGGGACCGAACATCCTGACAAATGATAGTTGACGAGTGTTTTCACGGCCCAAGGGGGCCTCTCCTGCACTGTGTATTCCCACTTTTGAGGCCTTCTTTCACCTCATGCCACTTTCCACAGAGACTGCAAGTGACTCCCACTGCTGCCAGCGGTGTCAGAATCTCCCCCCTGGGCCAGCCCTCTCCCTGTTTTGCCCTCGCTGCTTACCATCTTTCGGAAACCACCACTCTCACGGGTGCAGGCACTGGCTCTGGGGTGATGGCCTGCGTGTTCCCTTAGTCAGTCCCGCTGAGCGCCTCCTTGACGTGCGACTGTGCTGGCTCCGTGCCATGTTTTGTGATGGCTGGTTTCTCATGCTTGATGTTTTTGCTCTGCAGCACACTATCTGATGTGGGACATGTGAGACTTCCTACTCAGAGTCTGACCTGTGGGGTCTGGCATTGGTCTCTTCTACCCAATCAGCATTTTGGTCTGCTGTGAGGCTGTTTGCTTACTTTCCTGTGTGTTTCCATGGCTGTTGGGTTAAAGACCCAAGCGTGTGTGTGAAGTGAATTTGGGACTGGATCCCTCCCTGAGGCGAATGTCGGAACAGGACCACCTCCCTGAGGTAAAAGGCGGGACAAGGTCAAATGTCAGGACAGGACGATCTCCCTGAGGTGAATGTCAGGAGAGGACCACCTCTCTGAGGTGAATGTCAGGGTACAACCACATCCCTGAGGTGAATATTGGGACAAGACCAACTCCTTGAGGTGAATATCAGGACAGGATGACCTCCCTGAGGTGAATGTTGGGACAGGACCACCTTCCTGAGGTGAGTGTTGGGGTACAACCCTGAGGTGAATGTTGGTACAGGACAGCCTTCTGAGGTGAATGTCATGACAGGACCATATCCCTGAGATGAATGTTGGGTCAGGACAGCCTTCTGAGTTGAATGTTGGGACCAAACCACCTCACTGAATTGAATGTCAGGACAGGATCACCTCCCTGAGTTGAATGTCTGGACAGTACCAACCCCTTGAGGTGAATTTCAGGACAGGACAAACCCCTTGAGGTGAATTTCGGGACAGGACAAACCCCTTGAGGTGAATGCCGGGGTACAACGAAATCCCTGAGGTGAATGTCTGTACTGGACAGCCTTCTGTGGTGAATGTCAGGACAGAATCAAAAGGACCACCTCCCTGAGGTGAATATTGGGACAGGTCCACCTCCTGAAGTGAATGTTGGGACAGGGCCAACTACCTGAGCTGATATTGGGACAGGACCATATCCCTGAGGTGAATGTCGGGGTACAACATATCCCTGAGATGAATCTTGGTACAGGACAGCCTTCTGAGGTGAATGTCGGGACAGGACCATAACCCTAAGGTGAATGTCAGAACAGGACAGCCTTCTGAGGAGAATGTCGGGACAGGACCACCTTCCTGAAGTGAATGTCGGGACAGGATCTACTCCCTGAGGTGAATGTTGGGGTAGGACCACCTTCCTGAGGTGAATGTCGGGACAGGACCACCACCCTCAGGTGAATGTCAGGACAGGACCAACTGCTTGAGGTTAATGTTGGGGTACAAGCACATCCCTGTGGTGAATGTCGGTACAGGACAGCCTTCTGAGGTGAATGTTGGGACAGGATCAACAGGACCACCTCCCTGAGGTGAATGTTGGGTACAACCATGTCCCTGAGGTGAATTTCAGTACAGGACATCCTTCTAAGGTGAGTATTGGTACAGGACCACCTCCCTGAGGTGAATGTTGGGACAGAACCATACCTCTGAGGTGAATGTCGGTACAGAACAGCCTTCTGAGGTGAATGTTGAGACAGGACCACCTCCCTGAGGTGAGTATCAAGACAGGATCATCTCCCTGAAGTGAAAGTCAGGGTACAACCAGATCCCTCAGGTGAATCGGTACAGGACAGCCTTCTGAGGTGAATGTTTAGACAGGACCATCTCTTTCCTCTGATACTATTTAAGGTTCCTGAGAATTGTTGTATTTCTTATTTTCTTTAATTAATGTTTTTAACATTAAAAACGTTTTGATCTTAAGGCACCTGATTTACATAGTTGAGTTTCAGGTGAGCAATGTGCCATCAGCAATCCCCCCTGCAGTGACAACTCCCTTCCAGTTTCCCCCTTGGCAGGCTCATTGTTCATTTGGGTTGTTGTGATTTGAAACTCCTGCTATGAGTGGCTCTGTGACCAGGACTCACTCCTGGCTGACTCAGGGGAACACGTGTGTGTGTATGTGTGTGTGTTGTGTGTTTCGTGTGTGTTTTTTATATGCGCGCACGTGCATGTGTGTTCAATGCCGGGGATCAAACCCACGTGGTCCACATGTGAGGCAATTGCCCTCCTCACTATACTATTGCTCCAGCCCAGACACCCACATATATGCCCACTGCAACCCCACCCTCTATGCTCAAGGCGCTGCCCCAGTACCCCCATCCAGCTCTTCTTATTTCCAATCATTATTTTTCCTTTTCTGTTTCTGATCTATATAATGGGCTCAGTCCCAGTGCTCAGGAGGAACTAAATTTGGTGAAGGGTCAGGGTGCTGAGCAGGGGCAGCTAAGCACCGCATTGTGCCAGTGTGGAGACGGCCATTGGCACATGGGGACGCGGGGACAGGATGTCTTGAAAGGTGTTTGTGGAAAGGGCCTTCCTGGGCCGAGCGCTGCCCAGAGAATGGGATAGTTGGTCAGGGAGTGAAATCGCCCTCATTTGTGTATGTGTGCATGTGTGCATATGTGCCTTGTGTGCACGTGTGTGCGTGTGTATATGTGCCTTCTGTGCATTTATGTGTGTGTACGTGTGTGTGCATGTGTGACTTTATGGGCATGTGTGTGCATGTGTGCTTGTGTATGATCGTGTGTGTATGTGCTTGTGTGCACATTTGTGTGTGTGTGTGTGTGCGTGCAGGGGGCTTGTCTGTCAGTCTTCGGGTCCCTCCATGGCCTTTGTTCACTGGGCCTCTCTGAGTGCTGCTGAGTTGCTGGATCCTTGTGGTGTGGGTCCCAGGCCCGGGCACCATGCCAGCCGGCCCGTCTCTCTCCATGGGCAGAAACCAGGGACCCCGATCAGGGTCAGAGGGGAGGTGGGCTCATCCGCGGCATGTTGACTCCTTGATGCTGAGAGTGGGGGTCCCGGGAGGGAACGCCAACAGTGACCTTCGGTCCGCAGGTGTGGGCAGCAAGAGGGACGTGGTCTTCCTCATCGACAGCTCCCAGGCCGCGGACCCCGAGTTCCAGCACGTCCGCACCTTCCTTGAGAGGCTGGTGGGCTTCCTGGACGTGGGCTTGAACACGACACGCGTGTCGGTCGTCCAGTTCAGCGAGTACCTGCGAGTGGAGTTTCTGCTCAACACGCACTCCAGCAAGGAGGAGGTGCTGGGCGCTGTGAAGGCGCTGCAGCCCAAGGGCGGCCGGCAGGTGCACCTGGGCACAGCCCTGAAGTACGTGACCAGAAACATCTTCAGGAGGCCCCTGGGCAGCCGCATCGAGGAGGGCGTCCCCCAGTTCCTGGTGCTCATCTCCTCGGGGAGGTCCAGCGACGAGGTGGACGAGCCGGCCGCCGAGCTCAAGCGGGCGGGCGTGGCCCCGCTCACCGTGGCCAGGAACGCTGACCACGAGGAGCTGCTCAAGATCTCCCTGAGCCCCGAGTACGTGTTCTCCCTGAGCACCTTCCGGGAGCTGCCCAGCCTGGAGCAGAAGCTGCTCACGCCTATCACCACGCTGACGGCCCAGCAGATCCAGCACCTGCTGGACGCCTCGACCTACCCGCCCCCAGGTGAGACAGGGCGGGCGCTGGGCGGGGCTGCCCCTTCAGTCACTTCTCCTGAGTCTAAGGTACTTTGACCGGCACAGCCAGTTGGACTTTGACAGGAGAGAGCTGAAAGACAAGGTATGGAGGACTGTATGAAACATGCGGCAAGTTTATTATAATCCAAGCTGCTTTTTATAGTCTTATTTTAGTGATGGTCAACAAGTTTCAAAGGCTGTGTAAACAATATTAACAATATTGTTTTAAAACATGAATTTTTTAAGCATGTGGGTTTTTAGGTTGGTCTGCCATTGAAAAAAAGCTTTAGAGAGAAAAAACATTTTGTGCATTGTATTTGAAATCCTACTAACATATATTCTTACTCGTTCTTTGGCGGTCACCAGATTTCAAAGATTGAGTTTCCGTTCTTTTCTGTTTTGAATCTAAAATTGGGAAATAAATCTGGGGGAAAGATTTGCATTGGAATAATAAAATTAATTTTCCTGAAAAAAAACAATATTGTTTGTAAACAATATTGGGTTGTGTAAGCAATTTTATTTTTTTAAGCTTTACTTATTTTCTGTTCCTCAACTTAGCTCTAAGAGACAGGAATGGAGTCGTGGCCTTGGGCCTGGCCAAAGGGGATACAAGTGAGCCTTCCCTTCAGTCCCCTCTCAAGGCCAGCCGCCAGAGCGTGGTGGCCCTTCGTCCCCTGTCCAGGTCGGCTCTCAGGGCCTGGTTCACTCTCCCGCCAAGTTTCTCCACAGCCAGTGCCTATTTCCAGGGACAAAGGCAGGAGTGCCTGGGTTCATCCCCAACATCTCCCTCTTTCCTCTCTCAAAGCTGAATAGGTTACCCAGTCCTGAGCTGCAGCACATGATTATGTGAAACCATAATCTTTCAACAATCGAAACAATATCTTTTAAGCAAATAAAGTATAACAATAAGCAAAATGCAAAGAATAATCACAACATTGTCCAATCCTCTCAATGAGTTAAGTGTAGAGTTTGGATTTATAACTTTTGAAAAGCTTGCCAAAAATCAGACACTATATCCGCCGAATTTTTTGGTATATCAAGAATCTCTTCATGTAATTGTAATAAATATGACTTAGTATTTACATAATTCCAAAGACCAAGTACATGATTCTTAATTTTTCCCCGGGATATAGAATATCATTATATTTTTTATGAATAACACACATCCATAAATATTTTATGACCTTTGAGGCTCATTTTGACTTTCAATGCAAGCACTTCATCCCCAATGAATTGTACAGTATCCCATGACATGGTAAGCCCTTCTTCCATTTTTCTATGTTTTCCTGTATTCCCAATGCCTTGCTAATAGTTCTACTTAAATTTCGTGACTTCATCTTTTCTAACAGCTACATAGTACTCCATTGTGTAGATGTACCAAAGTTTCTTTAACCAGTCATCTGTTCTTGGGCACTCAAAATTTACATTCAGTGGTACTACATGGAAAGTATCATGCTAAGCGAAAAGAGTCAGAAAGAGAGGGATAGACATAAAAAGATTGCATTCATCTGGGGAACATAAAGTAACAAAATAGGAGACTAACACCCAAGAATAGCCGAGATAAGTACTCCGTATTTTGCACCAAAACCAAATTTTAAAAGCGCCCAGGTGGGGTGGGGATCCCCAGGCTTTGCTGGCTGCCCGGGGAACCAAACAAGACCCACAGCGGCTGGCCAGCCCCTCGGGAGGCGCAAGGCTTGGCACAGTGGGCTGGTGCCCCCTGGAGCTGAGTCACTCGGCCCACAGTGCTCACAGAGGCACTGGGTCAAATGGGAGGCCAAGAGGAGCTGTCACTCCACAGGGGGACCCCCGCGGGGGCATGTGCCATGGAGGGGGCGTGTGCCCCCCGCAGTCCCTGCAGCGCGTTCCTGAACCCCCACCTGCTATCACGCGCCTTCCGGTCTCCCGCCCTGTAATCGCCCACCCGAGAGAGCGAACACGGCAAGGTCTGGCACCAGCAGAAGGGTCAGGAGCTGGGCTTGGGCCAGGTGCCAGTGGCCGCGAGGGGCGGAGTGAGGAGATGGGCGGGGCTCAGACGGGTTAGGGGCGGGGCTAAGAGATGGGCGGGGCTCGGGGCGGGGCAAGGAGATGGGCGGGGACCAGGTAGGTGAGGGCGGGGTTAGGGGCGGGGCAAGGAGATGGGCGGGGACCAGGTAGGTGAGGGCGGGGGGCGAGGCGATGGGCGGGGCTCAGGTGGGGCAAGGGCGGGGTTAAGGGCGGAGCAAAGAGATGGGCGTGGTTCAGGTGGGTGAGGGCGGGGTTAGGGGGTGGGGCGAGGAGATGGGCGGGGCTAGGACGGGTTTGAGGGCGGGGCGAAGAGATGGGTGGGGCGAGGAGATGGGCGGGGCTCAGGTGGAGTTAAGGCGGGGCTAGAATGTGGGCGGGGCGAGGGCGGGGTTGGGGGCGGGGCGAGCCCAGCAGGACAGCAGGACAGAGGACAGCAGGACAGCAGGGAGGACCCCCCAGCCCAGGGAGAGGAACGGTGAGCTCAGGGCGGAAGGATGGGGGCAGAGGGAGGACTCGGGCTCTGAGAGAGCAGCTAGGGGACACGGGGCGGGGGTCCTCCCAAGAGGAGCCGGAGAGCCGGGCTGTGGGTGTCCTTCGTGGGGGTCGTGGGGGGCCGTGACGGGGGGCGGAGGGCACAGCCCGGCGAGGACCCCGCCTTCCTAGGGCGCGCTGAGCAGCGGGCAGGGGCGACGCCCTCACACGCCCACTGCCCCGCGTGGGGACACAGCTCAGCGCTGTCCACTCCGGCTCCAGCGCCCTGGCCCCGGCCCCCGCGTGCCCCCTGAGTCCCACACTCTGGCCTGAGCAGCAAGGACCGCCTGTCACCTAGGCGGGGGCACCGGCCCGTGGGTCAGCAGGGTCCCCCGCAGCAGCGCAGCCCGGCCCTCAGTGCCCCCAGCCCCTCTGGGCACGCGGAGCCCCCTCCGGTCCCCAGAGGAGGGAGAGGCGCCCACCTCCGGCCCGGGACCCCAGGGAGCGTGCCAGCGCCCCGACCCCTGCAGGGACCGCGGGAGGCCCCCGCCGCGCCCCTGCGCCCCCCCTCTGGGACGCCCGCCCTGCGCCCTGCGCCCACCCTCTCCGCCGCGCCCCTGCGCCCCCCCCTCTGGGACGCCCGCCCTGCGCCCTGCGCCCACCCTCGGGGACGCCCGCCCTGCGCCCTGCGCCCCCCCCTCTCCGCCGCGCCCCTGCGCCCCCGCTCTGCGCCCCCCTCTCCTCTCGGACGCCCGCCTGGCGGGTCCGGGGCCTGTCCGGGCCGCGTCCTCCCGCCCTCCCCTCCCCGGGGTCCCTCCGCCCCCAGCCCGGGCCGAGCGCGTCCCCGCGCCCCCGCGCGCGCTGGGCGGGGGTCGGGCGTCCCCTCCCGCCGGCCGGCCGTGCGTCCCCGCGCCCGTGACGCCACGACGCCGGCGCAGGGAGGGGCGCGGGGCGCGCGGCGGGGACGCCGATGGACATGGGCACGCAGGGCGCGGGGCGCAAGCGGCTCCCCAACCGGGAGCGCCTGACCGCCGAGGACGACGCGCTCAACCAGATCGCGCGCGAGGTGGGGGCGCGGGACCGGGCAGGGGGCCGGGGCCGGCGACCCGCGGGCGGGCCGGGACCGGGGAGGGGGCGCGGGGACCGGGCCGGACCCGGGAAGGGCCGCGCTGTCCCCTTGTGCTGCCGTCCTGCGCGCCGCGCGCTCGTGTCCGGAGGGTCCCGGACCCCTGGGGGGGTGGGAGGGCGCCCACCCCCCTCCACACCCCGCCTCCCGGGGTCCCCGGGGCCGGGGGGGGGGGGACCCCGGGCGCCGCCTCCCGGGGTCGGGACTGGCCACGTGGGGGCTGCGGCGGGTGGGGGCGGGGCGGCCCGCAGGGTCCAGCGCTGCCCGCGGGCACGGGGACGGACCCTAGAAAGGTCCCTAGAAAGCCGCACCTGCACGCGCCCCCTCCCCCTCCCCAGGTGCCATGGACGTTTCTGGGCCAAGGGCTTCTGGGGCAGGCTCTGGCGCTGGACTGGGGGGTGGGCCCGCCCGGCCGGGCCCCGGTATTTGTCCTCCAGGGGCCAAGCCTGGAGGGTGCCCAGCCCCAGGCCTTGGCCCCGCCTGGAGACCCCACTCTTGCCCACACCCCACTTTCTGCAGCACCCTCTGGGGTCTGCTGGAGGCAGGGGGCACTGTCTGCCCCAGGACGGTCGGGTGCTCCCCAGGTCTGTACTCACCCCCTGTTCCTCGCGGTCACTCGGAATGCCCTTCTGGCTCTCAGACCAGTGTGACCGGGGGGCGTGATGCTCGGGGGTCTCTGCTTGTGGAGGAAAAGGCGAACTCCTATTCATCCCGCAAGGCCCCTGTGGTCCCCAGCCGTGCTCTCTCTTCCCAGTGGCCGCCCAGATGTCTAGCACCACGGCCCTGATGGTAACCCTGGGGCGTGGGGCAAGGCGGGGGGTGGTGGCCCCTGAGCACCTGGTAATCAGCTTGGGCCCTTCAGAGCCTCGGCTCAGGACAATACCAACTGCAGCCTCCCGACAGCCCCCGTGTGGGCGTCTGACCCTAGGAACGGGCACGTGGTCTGGGCAGGCAGCAATGCTGACCGTGGGGGGCACCCCGAGCCACCTCCTCTCTGCTAGGCCAACTCCCTGGGTGCGGCCGGGGCCCTGTGTCCGCAAGGGCCCTGTGGCTCCCCGCCCACTGCGCCGGCCTGGCCGAGGCGTCCTATCCCTCACCAGCCTCTGTCTTCCCGTCTCTAAAATGGGAAGGAAAGCCCTGCAGCTGTCAGGGCCTGACCCCGGCCTGCCTCCCCCAGGGCCACGGGGATGAGAGCGAAAGCGTCCTCCTGCTGCGGCGAGTGGCTGTGGCCAGTGCTGTCCTCCAGGGGGACAGTCCCTGCACAGGGCAGGCGGGTGTCGGTCACTCTGTGCGGAGAATTCGCCCCCTCCCTGCCCTTTCTTGCTGCAGTGAGGGGTGACTTGAGCTAGTTATGGTTGTGCGGGTCGGGGGGGGACTTACATCTCAGTGAGGGGGGTTGTATGACTCACTGGGTTGGTTGTACAGTTCGGTTCTGGTGTACGCTCTTGGTGGTGCCAAGGATCACACTTTGGGCCCCCAGAATGACTCTCGGCACGTGGTTGTTTGAACTCTTGTCTTTTTTTTTCTTTTGGGGCCACACTCGGCGATGCTCAGGGGTTCCTCCTGGCTCTGCGCTCAGGAAGGAATTCCTCCTGGCAGTGCTCGGGGGACCTTGTGGGATGCCGGGGATTGAACCCGGGTCGGCCGCGTGCAGGGCAGACGCCCTCCCCGCTGTGCTATCGCTCCGGCCTGAACTCTTAAGTCTTACCCCAACTTCTATCCTGGGTAAACTGGGGTGTCAGGAAGGGCCCAGAGCAGGAGTTGGATCTGCAGAGCAGCGTGGGTGGGAGGCGGCTGGTCTTAAAGGGGTGCATGTTGTGCCTGGAAGGCTTGGAAATGAGAGCACCTGCCACTTGCTGAGAGAGGGCGTGGAAATCAGGGCAGCTTTCAGGAGGAGGTGGCATTTGAAGTTGGTGTCCCCCAGGAGACCGTTGGCTCGGGAGCGGGTGCCGGCCGGGCCAGCCTCTGCCGGCTCAGCCGTGACCTTCCCAGGCCGCCCCTCATGCCAACACCCAGCGCCGCCGGTGGCCTCTCCCCGAGCTGGAGGCGCCTGGCCGCTGACTCAGGGACAGACACCTGTCCCGTGTCCCCGTGTCCCCCGTCCCGTGTCTCTGTGGCGGGCGGGGTCTGCCTGAGACCAGCCGGGCCCTCCTGGCCTCTGGGGCCTCTGGGGAGCTGGCATGGCACGCGGGGCTGGAGCTGGGGCCAGACCAGGAATGCGGGTGATAAGGGCAGAGTGGGGGGGAGGGGAGGGGCAGGGGTGGGCGGGGGAGGGGCCTCAGGATGCCACAAGAGAGCGCCTGGGGGGCTGGGCCCTCTGGGACCCCCCAGCCCTCCCCCCCGCCTCTGGCTGCCCCCCAGGCTCCCCCCCATCCCTTCAGCCTGCAGCTGCCCCTTTCCCGACTTGGGGGGGACAGGGGGCTCCTGCAGCACAGAGCCACTGAGCACGAAGGGTGGGGGAGGGGAGGAGGCAGGGGAGGGGGAGGGGGAGAGGGGTGTGTGTTCCTTTTCAGGGTCCCAGCACACCCCCCCCCCCCCGCTTCCTGAGTCTTGGATGCACCCCCCCTTGTCCTCCCTGAGGCTGGAGGCCCCGGGGGGGGGGCGGGGACCAGGCCCCAGTCCGGCCGTCTGTCTGTCCATTGTCCTGCAGTCTCTGGGGGGCCGCAGAGGCCCCCCTCAGCTGTGGCATTGGGGGCTGGCGGCCCCAACGGCTATTTCTGGCTGAGTCCAGCTGTCAGCCTTTCCGGGGCATCTGTGAGGTATTGGCCATGCACTGCGGGGTGGGGGGGGCTGGCTCTCGGATGGGAGCCGTGCTGGGGGGTCCCCCTGGCCTGGGGGGGGCTGGCAGAGGTCGACTCAGGGGCCCCGTCAGGCAGGTGGGGGTCTCTGCTGGCCTTCTCCCTTCACCCCCGCGAGTGATAGGCAAGCGGGGAGATGCATGTGAGTGGCCCAACAACCGCCCACCCAGGACCCCCGGCCCGACCCTGAGCCCCCCCGCCTGGCTGTGGGTCTCTAGGAGGGACCCCCCCCATCCCCTGACCTTACTCGGGAGGGTCCACACTGCCGCCTCCCTTTCTAGTTTGCACGAGGCATGTCCCTGGGGGCGGGGGGGCTTCACACTCAGCCACAGTCGCCGTGGGCCTCCCCCTTAAGTGCCATGTGTGGGATCAGCCGCAGGCACCCCCTGGCCCAGAGCCGGCTGCCCAGCGCGCCTCTCGCCGACTTCACGCCACTCTCCCCGTGGTCTCGGAGACCCGCTTGGACCACCGGTCCCAGGGTCCAGACCCAGCCCTGCCCCTGAGAGAGCACCAGGCAGACAACGCCGGACGGTCGGTCAGGAGGGACGTGTGCCTGGGCGGGTGTGGGCCGGGTTCACAGGGCCTGGGCCGGGCTGGACCCAGAACCCCGGGCTGGGCCGGAAGCGGGAGTCTGGGCTGGCCGGGGGAGGCAGGGCTCGGGGGCTGGCCCTACTGTCCGGTCCCTTTCTCCGCGCCACTTCCTGCATCTTTTCTGGAGTTCATTGTCCCTTTTCCAAACATCGCTCATCGCCGCTGCGAATCTTCACCCCTTCGTGCAGCCCCTCGGCCCCTCCGATGAGTCCCAGCCCCTCCCCCCGCTCCGTGGCGTGGCTGTGGGGTCTCTGCCCGGCCCCCCCCCCCCCCGTGTCACCGCCTGTGAGCGAGCTCCCTTTCCGCCTGCCTGCGAGACCTTTACTGTCCCAGCCCTGTAGATTATTCGGCGGAGCACAGAGCGCGGCTAAAAATAATCCCCACAGAGCGGCAGGGATTTCTGTGTTCCCAGGCGCTGCCGGGCACGTGTGGCGGGACATGCGGGGGCAGTCGCCGGGGCCTCTGGTGGGCGGCGGGAGCTGCCGGTGTGCCAGGAGGGGCGGCTGGGCAGGGCGGGACTGCCCACGCGTGTGGACACGCGCCCGGGGAGAGGTGGACGGGGCTGCCTGCTCGCCAGCAGCTCAGAAAGGCACAACCAGAACCGTCTTATTTTCTGCCACAGTGTTTGTATTCGGGTCATGCCCGGCTGTGCCCAGGTTGCTCCTGGCCCAGTGCTCGGGGATCACGCTGGGAGGATGTGGAGCCTGGGTGCCCTACCTGCCGAGGTCTCCGCGCGCCTCTGGTACAGCTGCTCGGCTGTCAGTGCTCCGGCGCGTCCTGGGGCGGGCGCCCTCCCTCCACCCCGCCCCCAGCCTGCCCCCTTGGTGGGCACAAGGTAGTTCATCTGACGTTGCTTGCCACAACGATTTCTGAAAAATTGGGGGGGAAGTTGTGAATCTGTGAAGGTTGTTCCAGCTCACGGTGGGGCTGCCGGGCCCGAGTTCCAGCCGTGGCCTGGCCTGGGCGTGGGGCGTCCCCGCAGGAAGCCTGTGAACTGGACGTTCCTTGCGTGGCAGCTAGGCTCAGTCGTGAACCATGGGCCGGGCCCTGGGCACCGGCCTGGGCATGCGGGGCCTGGCGTTGTCCTGCGGGTGCCCTGTCCGACCATGCCCCTGAGCACCAGCACTCGGCTGTGCCTCTTCCGAGTCGGACTCGGGGAACTGGCCGCTGACCACTGACCACCACTACCCGCGCACGTGGGGACGTGAGAAGGGGGCGAAGAGCAAGGGGCAGCCGGGCACCTGGACCCACCATGGGTGGTCTGGGGCCATTCATGGCTGTGCAGTGGGGGGGCTGCGGGGGCGGGTCTGGGGGCTGGGGGGCTGCAGGGGGCGTCCGTGGGAGCTGGCTGGCGGGGAATGTGCAGGAGAGGGGAAGGGGCATCTGTCCCTGGCCTCCTGCGGGGGACTCAGGTCAGCAGCCCGTGGGCCAAGCTCAGGCAGCGGGGGAGGGAGAGTCCTGGAGTCCTGGCCCAGCCCCAGCCCTGAGGGCAAGGACCTGCCCTGACCACAGCCAGTGAGACTGTAAATATCCCACAGCCTGCAGCCCGTG